ACAGTATTCTTAAAAGGCTCATGAACCAGCCATTAGACTCTGGAGGCACACCTTGCTGCTTAAATCAAGAGATATCCTGTGGGGTAGATTGGTGTGTGCTTTTGCCCCACTCTTTTAACACTCCATAATAAAAGAAACTATAGAAAGGGGGAGGACCGCTGGGGCTATTTTTTTCTAACATAGCAGTTGGTGATAAAACATGCACAGAATACAGAGTTACTGTGCAGAGAGTGGGCTGTTTGAGAAGAAGTGTAACGACAACAGGAGATGGTGACTTTATGGAATGGAAAACAATCATCACGGGTCGCACACAAACAGCTTTTACTTTAGTGGAAGTTTCAACATATACAGACACATTAGCAGTCAGATCTGTGTTTGCCGCACAGCTCCCACAAATACACATAGATGTAGACTTCCCATGCAGCCTTCTACAGTAAAGCCTTGGTTGAAATGAATGGCTCTCCCTATGTGTTGTTGGCAGGTTGTTATTCTGCATCCTTCTTACTAAACAATAAAGTCTGGACATGAAGAGATGGACTTTAGAGTTCTCTTTCACCTTATTTCACTACTGGCTTCTATAAAGTTCAACCTTGATAGAGAGAGGAGAAGGGGTGAATGAGAGCGAACAAGGTGGCCATAAAAACAGAGTGCATGAGGGTATTGGAAATAAAGTGGCATGAAAAAAACTAAGCTATAGATAGACTTTGAAGCCTGAAGCCCATTCAATCACAATGGGGAGAGAAAATGACGTCTAAATCCCGCGGAGGATAGAAATAGTCTGAGTGATGATGTAAAATCTGGCAAAGCAAACGTATGAGGTGCAAAGCTCACCTGACAGGTTCTGACGCTACAAACTGAGCTCTGTTTAGAAATGATTATACTAAATCCACTTACCTTGTGATTTTTATCATTTTATTTGAATATTTGATCAATGGTTATTTGCATACGATGCAACATAGACTGCTTCAGTGTGAAAACAGTTAAACAACCAACGTTAAAGTTGCTGGTATGAACATTGCATGTGGTGGATTAAAGCCTCAAGTCAAAGAACGGTGCCTGCTAAAGCTAATAAAAAGTCCTAGCAGACTGCTTTATCTGTATTCCAATGATAATGGCCAAGAGCTCAAGATTTTCATTTGCTGACTACCCAACATGATTAACAAAAGATGGAGTCTAATAGGTTAGAAGAAATAAAAGAAAAACACAACCTCTGAGCATTGCTACAACGTTTTAATATGTTAGGGTAAAATTTACCTAAAGAGATTAGGAGCAATTTAGCACCCATAATAAAATCCTGCAAAAAATCCAGGCCACCGTTAATTAAACTCAGTCCATTTTACTCCAAGCTCCAGTTCAAAAAGGTTTAGTTTAGTTATCCTGATGCATGCTCAATAATCCAGGTAGAGGAAGTCTCTCGGATGAGAGACGAAACGTTTCTACATTTTTTTGTTGTTTTGCTTTGTTTTGTTTTTTTGAATGTCCAGAGGACCAGATTTAACTTTTTTAGGTTTAGTTTAGTTGTTGTTTAATTGTGTGTTCAGGACATTATATGTTACGCTGAATGCACCGAAAGCACTTTATAATTCACACATTTCACAAGTACAAAGTGACTTACAGGTAGTTGTTAAGTTATTTAAAACAATGCTTAATACTTGTGTATTTTGATGCTTATCCTGGAAATTTACACAGAAATCCAGACTCAGTGGTATTATTGCAAGTATCATGTTACTCAAATGAGTGTAAGTTATTGGTTTATTACTTGGTTAGTTTTGAAATATTTTCCAAACGGTGCCCAATTTAATTTCCATCGTTAGATGCTTGGATTAGGATTGAATAAATGCATACTCTAAACATATTTTCAATCATGGGTGGTGTTGCCAGGGTGCTCTTTAACTGGGAGTCTTCCCACTTGTTTAAATCTTGGAAAACTTCAGGTAATACTTAAGGTGATGAGGCAGGATGAGAGAGTACAAGTGGATTGTCACAACCTGTCTTGAGAAATTGACCTATCCAAAAATGAAATATGGAGTGAATAAGTGCTGGCTAATCTCTTGGCTCCAGCATAAACCCTTGTAACATTCTGGCATCTCTGCCCATTATCCCAGCAGTGAGGATGTGGCAAGCTGTTGCTGCTATGGAACACCATCTGCTACTAATGTGGCTGATGCCCTCCAACCCTCAGGGAGGAAAAGGTGCTGATAGAGAGAGGGCATAGGCACTGAGAGAAAAAGAGGCAGAGAAGTGTAGAGGAGAGAGAGAGACATGACTCAGACTTCCTCCTTGGTTTAATTAAGTGGCAGCTGTGGGGTTAGGTAAGGACATCTTTGTCCCATTTTGTGTGTCATTTTCTGAAAACAGGTCAACAATCTAGCTTCCTAACTAGTACAGATGTGTACTGTCTCTGCAGAGTGTCTCATATTTGGTAACCAACTGTCTCAAATTCACCAAATGTAGATACAAACAGTGACTTATAGTATAAATTTGTGGTGTAACCGTTTTATAGATTGTAGAAAAGGCCACCAGCCAACGTTATTAAAGGGAAATTTTGTCAAGTAGGCATGCAGACTTTACTCTTGTCGTATATTCTTTCCAAAATTATTTAAAGTCACCGATTAACTTTGCCTTTTGGTCTAACAATCTAGCCAGAAGATCAGATGAGCCTTGTCGCCGTCATGCTCTTTGACTTCCAGGACAGGAAGTTTCTCCCCCGGAAGCGCCAGGGCAAGGAGGAGGTCATTCAGGAAGTTAGAGACGCGGAGAATTTTCTTATTAGGTACATTCTATTAAAAATATACACGAAGAGGCTGAAGATAAAGGAGAAATCGCTCACAGAAATGAGAAAATATAAATTCATGCATTTTTTGCATCTTGTTCAATGTGTTTGCTTTTGTTTGTGTTGCATGCAGATTCAAAACCAAGCTGGCAGCCTCTCTGGCCCGCTGCAGGGTCAAACACAACCTCTCATCCATTGAATCCATCCTGCCAGAGAGTGTGAGAACGAAGCAGAAGATGTCAGCCAACTTGCCTCTTTATGCATGGGTCAACACACTGAAGTGCAGGTGAGCTGGACTTACACAGCAGATACAGATAACACGTTCTTCTTAACATACACCTGCACATGAACGCAAGAATGCACTTTAAGCATACATACACCAAGCTTTAACTTGTGGTGCTGCTCAGCACTTTACCCACTAGGTGATCAGCTGACAGCTAATTAAACCACCATGTGTATATGCATGAATGTGTGCACGTGTGGGAACAGGCTGTAATAAGACTGATTCAGGTAGGTGTAAATCCTGCTTCTGTGCACAGATTTAATCAGCAACCAGCTCGTGGACTGTAAAGGTCACCTGTTGGGACAAATGCTGTGTTCTCTGTATGTGTGTGCTTTGAGAGTGGATTTTACTGCAGTTACACTACGCAAGTCTATAGAAAGATAAAAAAATACATTCTGCACCCTAACTATCTCTGATAGAAGTGTTCCTTTTGTCCTAGCTGCAACCTTGTTCTTTCATCCCTTCTCTTCCACTAATCTGCTCTTATTGTTCCACCACACCTTTGCTTCCAGTCGTGATGAGGTCCAACGTGTACTGAGGAATGCAGGCTTCTCGCAAGTGAAATCCATTGGACAATTGGAGGGCCAGGCTTTCTTCCAGGATCCCCACTGTGGGGACACTCTGGTGTTCCCAGCTCAGCCGAAAGCTCAGCTGTACTCCACAAAACTGCTTCGTGACCATAAGCTCATCCTCCAGGTACAAGCTGTACAGAAAGACATTTCTGACAAAAGCAGTCTCCTCTCAGACATTCATGCAGCTGTGGACATTTTCTCTGCACCATCAATTTTCCCAATATTTCTGGTTTTATATTTGAGGTGAACTAGCTCACATTGGTTGTAAAACTTTGTCCACTCACCAGCTGAGATTAGTTTCCATAGATGCAAATATTTTACATCTCTTTCACTCAAATGGCTGGACTTCACTTTGAGCCATAAAGAATGATCCTGGAGGTGACAATTTAATCATGAAATTTCTATTGCCTATAAATCTAGCTGCCGCACAAACTGTAAAGAACATGCACCACCACAACATTATTAAATCTGACGGATTGACTAAATTTAATCAAACATCCAACACTGTTGTCTTATTAATCATCTTGTTTTTTTTTCTCCTTTTATGAGTCTCAATTAAACTTGATTTCTGCTTTAATATTTTTTTTCTCCTTTATCGTTTTACTTTATATTTTGTTTTCTCAAAATGTTATAAACCTGCGTAGATCTTCTTTAGGGTGCAATTTCTTGGTTTTCACAACTTCTTCACAACTATATCTTAATATGTCTGTAGGATAAGTCTTGCAGTCTTGGCCCAAACGCAGCCTGCGCCCTCTTACAAGAGGAAGGAGACATTCTTATGGTGGGCTGCTTCTCTGGCCTTACTGTGTCCCACATGGCCTCCCTCATTGTAGAAAAACATAAATCCACCAACAGCAACCAGCCGACAGTCTACGTTTGTGTCAGCAATTGCACGGATGCTCAGCGGGAGGAGCTTCAGCACACGATCTCCACCATGGGCTGCGACAGTAAGCATGGGTGTTGTGCCTTTGTATTAGAGACAAATGAGGAAATGAAAGAAAGAATTAGAAGCAGAGAGATCCCTTGTCTTTGTCTTTTTGATGATGTCATTAGCTGTCATTTTCTTTCTTTAATTTTGGTCAAAAGGCAGTGGGAAAAGGAAGCTTTACCACACTGGTTCACAATTCAAAACGTGAAATGACAGATTTTTGATTAAAAAATGCTAATTGTTGACAGCAAATTCCTAGGGACTCTCGTATGTTTTTCATACCAGCATGCTGTAAACCAGGTTGTCCGCTGAGATCTAGTCTACACATGAACTTTATTTACTAAAGGTGGCTACCACCTCATCTAGTCTTTAGAAAGGCAATTACAAGAAAAGGTCCAAGGTGATATTTTTATAATTGCAAAAAATACCCCAAAGCAAGAATTTGTGGAGCAAAGAAAACAAGTACTGTAGAACTTTTTTGTCAGTAGAATGAAAGCACAGAGAGAAAGTGTGTCACTGATCATGCTGCTTATCTTGTCACTGTATGTGTATGCTGCGTAGACGTGAAGCTGATACAGGAGGTCTTCCAGTCTTTGGATGGTGGTGATAAGAGACTTCAAAAGGTGCGCGTTATCCTGTTGATCCCCAGGTGTTCTGTGTCTGCAGTCAGCAACCCTGTGGATTTCATGCTGCAGGAAAATGGAGGTAGTAAACTGTGCACTGCAGAAAAGCCAGAAACTGCACTCATAAAATCCACGTTACATCCTGTTGTGCACACAAACACAAAATGCATATTGTTTGTTAGCTTTGAACATTTAAGACGTCATACAAACACACTGCAAGACAGTGTTAATGTAAATGTAAATGACTAAATATATATTTTTAATAAACAATATATAGTTTAGTAAGTGAAGAGCACAACTCTTATTTCCAAGACTTCAATCATTTTCAGTTGTACTTGAATTCTTTATGCACAGTTTTGAAAAGAGTGAATAAATATAATAATATTCAGCTTTTGTAAAGCTCTTTTTTTTTCTTCTTCTGTTTTTCCAGACATGGGCCTCCTACAGGACCTATCACGTGGTTTCATAGCCCAGAGCAAACTGGAGTCACTGGTTGCGCAGCAGAGGAAAGATATCGATCATGCCTTGAAGTGTGAGACTACGCTCACCTTTTTCATGTAGACACACAGATGCACACCCAAACACGTGCACCGTATAATCTCAGTTTCAAGTGTGTATCGTCTCTCACCTCACTGACACAATGATGCTTACGCTTCCTAACTATCTAATCTCATGCCATTAGACGGACGCCTGCCGTGTTCCTCAGAGATTGTCGAAGTTTTAATTAGAAATGCTAATGCTGCTCTGTGCTGGTCAGACAAGGCCTTCTGAAGTATTTCTTGCACATTTTCCAAAAGTAATTAAGATGCAGGCTTAGTTTTCTGTACATTTTGTAGAACTAAACATTTGAAAAAGACCTGTTCTGTTCAGTAACATTATGTTTAGTTTAGTTATTGTTCTGCTTTGTGATCAGTTACTTTTCTTTTCTGTTCTATATATTGCTTTTCCTTCGATTCACCCAACTTAATTGATATCCATGGGCTGCTCTCATTAGCTACAGTCCATCTTGTTTTGTTCAATGCTCGTCTGTCTTTATCTGGCTGCAGTTCCCTTCATCAAGCAGGTGAAGTCTCTTGGTTGGTGAAAATGTAACCATTTCCTTTAATCGTACAGCTATCGATCTGTTCTTGTCTATCTGTTTGCCACTGTGGATACTTGCTAATGGGACTAGTGGTGGGTATATATTGAGTGGCATGGTTTAATTAAGTCAATGGTCTCATTTCATTGTCTTTATGTAGGCACATGCATTGACAAATTCTCTGGATGAGACATACACAAACACAAGCACACACCTGTCTCCAGAGATTGTATATATCCAGAATTCATCGGTTGTAAGAACAGTTCAGTCTCGTGTCTTTGATTTCTTTGTAATTTTGTGTCAGTCTATTCCTCACATTTGTTTGTCACATTTGGGCAGGTTCTATTTGTTATCAGCTGAGTTTTAATTGTTTCTGTCTGGCTGTAATTAGTTGGAAAGGAAAAAAAGTCAAACTGCAGACAATTAAATAAATTGCTGAGCCAGTGGAAGCTCAATAAAACGAGCACAAATAAGCATAAATTATTATCCGGGGGTCTGTTTCTTTAAAAAACGTGTACAATGATGGAAGTATGTGAAACTGAGTAATTAAATTGAACTGTTTAAAAATGATATCAAGTATCTTTTTTATCCTAATGTTTTTTTTACTTAGTTCACATGGTTTTGGCGGTAGTGTACTCCACCTGTTCATCATACCCAGAAGAGAACGTGAACGTAGTAAACATGGCCCTGCAGACAGCCAAAGCCTGCTCGGACCAGAAGGGGGAACCAAAACAGTCAAACTTCAGGTGAGTCTTGTGTTCTAGGCATGTCTCCATTTTTTTTCCAGTCATCTATCAGATTTCTAAGTTGTTCTTTTGTTCTATTTTCTTTTAATCAAGATTATATCAAAGCCTCAATAAATCTCAGGATAGAAGTGAAGGATATTCAATAAATTACGACTAAAGGCATACTGGTAGTTTTAGGTCTTTAAACACTGAGTAAAATCCAGAGAGAACAATCATTTCACAGCTTGAATACACTCTTATCCCAAATGGAGTTTTCTTTTACCCTCTGCATTTTAAGCTCTCTTAAGGCTTTATTTCAGTTTTACAATTCCCATGGACATACAAGACTGACTCCTGTCTGCAGCGAGCTGCCCTGTACTGGTAGCGCTGCAGGCTAGTGTAAAGAAGACAGGTGGAGTTATTGCTATTGGTTTCTCTATCTGTATGTAGATATCTGATGCTTATGTTTGTTTTAGATGTACAACAATCAATCATTTAGTCAATAAAAACACATATTTTATAATGGCAAAATTACAACTTTAATGTTTTGCTTGACTTGTTTCTTTGTGTAATTTGTGTCTTAATGCTTTGAAAATAGATGTCTGGATTTTTTTTCTTCTTTCAACCTTTATTTAGACAGGTTAATCCCATTGAGCCCCGAGGACTCATTTACAAGAGAGGCCATTTTGGACTGCAGATGAAACACTGCATTAAAATCAAAAAGGCCCATGCTCAATAATCCAGGTATACAATCCAACAATTTTCAGTCAGGTCATCTGGACAGTTTCTTTTTTTGCTGAAACATTTCACCTTCCATCTGGAAGCCTTCCGGATGGAAGGTGAAATGTTTCAGAAAAAAAAAAGAAACTGTCCAGATGACCTGACTGAAAATTGTTGGACTTCATTAGAATGTTAACCTGGGCTCAGACAGCTCTGTGTGATTCAAGTTTTACTTACTGATTAGTAATTGTATGTATCGGACAAAATCAAGTATTTTATTCTCATAAAATGTCAGTTCTATCAACGCTTTGTTTCACTCTAGTATAATATTTCATCTGGTTAACATGCCTGGTAGGGAACAGTATTTTTAGCAGCTACCATCTTGCTTATTTTTACATTCTGTCGTGTGCTGTACCTTTTTATTCAGGCCAAGTCCATCCCCTTTCAGCTCATCTGACCGTGGGGAGGCCACAGTGGAAGCACAGCCATTCTTTGTGTTGGAGCCCTCCAAGCACAGCAACGGCTGCTTTTTGGCTGTTCTTAAGAGAGAGGTGAGCATCACTAACCAGAAACTGCAGCAACAAAGCACAATGTTCGCATGGGACTTCATATTATTGACTCTTATTTGACAGATAAAACTCTAAAGTGTTTGTTGATCAAAAGCTTCAATTGGTTCCAGCTGAAATGCAAATAAAGAGCACAAGCAGAATAAGTAACTCTCTATGTTTTCTAACCACAGGCTTTCATGATCTAACCTCGTTTCTCCCTCCGTTGTTTTATTCAACCACTCATGCACTCTCATATCCACTTTCATCATCCTCTCTTTGCCTTTCTGCTCTTCTCCTCTGCCTGAGAGAGACACTGGACAGTTATAGGAGCTTTAACTGGCTATAAATGCAATATGTTGCAGTGGATCTGTAGAGCCACTTGAAGAGCATTAGAAGAATCTCATCAAGTCTTTGTGACCGAGCTTACCAAAGCCTTTACAGTCTGCATGGTTTATAATATTACCATCTCACATTATGAAGGGTGCCCTTACGCTTTTGATGCAAGTTATTAAGTCATCTTACACCCAGAGGGGGTGACGGAGCTCTATCGTACTTTTGTGTCTGCTTCTCTCTGGCCGTTCATCATGTTTTATACCTCCACAGACAGGAATGAAAAGATAATCAAACTGCTGTAATGGTGCCTCAAACAGACATTTTTTTCTCCTCCATACCTCCAATAAACTCAGCTAATCAAAAGTTATTGTGGCTCACTGAAAAGCATCGTAAAATAGCAATTATATAAGTGTTTGAATGCTATGTGGCTTATATCGGCTGTCGTAGTTGTGCACAGGAAGGTTGTTTATGAGCCTTCCAGGAACAGCTGGGGACAATAAAGACATTCCAGGCTATGTGTTTCTAGCCTGATTTCCAGATGAAAACAATGCACATCACACGTGGATTTTCTTTAAATGTACTCCTACTACCAGTCGATGGGCAATAATGACAGGAGATTCAGAATATTACATTTGACTGCTTTCCTCACTGCTTGAGTTTAATTTAGATGTTGTTGCCAGGGTTTATTGTTTGTAATCATCTATGACACAAGAGATGAAAAGGAATGTGTTCAGCTCCAAGAAGTGCTGCAACAACTTAGTTTGCCAGAGTGTAGTTGGAAATAGGAGATTTACAGATCCAGGCGTATTTGGTTAGTGGGGATAGAGAGGAAGTGAGATTTACTCGGACGAGGGGGACGAAAAGGAGGCAAAGCAGAGTGTCTGTTGAATAATTCAGCGCCCCCTGTCTGTACGAGTTAACGTCAATGAAGTTTGCAGCCTCCACCGCAGACTGCATAACTGAAGTGCCACTAAAACAACGTTTGCTTGTTTACATAATGTCTAAAAACACGCAGGGAGACATTTGAGCAAAAAATGTACTTATGCACTTTTTCTTCTTCATGTGTGTACCAATTTATTTTATATAAACACTGGGATGGGTTTGCAATAAAGTGTAAGCAAGCACTTAAGGAAGAAAGTACGCACCAGACCTCACACAGGGTAGTGTAGTGTAGTGCACACGGTGGTTGTGAATAATTTAAGCATTGAAGAGAGCAATAAGTTGCAGTGCAGGATGCTGAGACAGCAGGTGACCCTGCAACAAGGACTTGGCGACCGTCTCCTCTCTGAAACAATGTTTCAGCACAACATGTTAATTTTCAGAAGGACACTCATCCTCATTTCGAATAATACTGTGCAATTTTGCTCTCATTTGACGCTGGAATCACTTAGAGTCATCTAAAGCTTTCAGCAGCGCTGTTATATTTTATTCATAATGTTATTCGTTCACTTTTTCACTTCAACAAATACTTGGTAATTTCTTCTCAATAGCCTGAGCCAGTGATTCAAGAGGCAGCAGAGGAAGTGATCGCAAGAGCAAACGCCAAAGGTATCCTGGACAGAATTGGCTCCAACCAGCTGCCCAGTAAAGAACATGGTGGGAGCGCCAGCAGGATGAAGAAAACAGCTCAGTCTCACCCAAACGTCTCTGTCAGAGTGCAGAGCAAACAACAACCAATCAAAGGAGGCACAAATGCTCCAGTCTGTGGAGATCTAGGCTTCCAGCGGTCAAAAGGTCTGTATGATCACTTGTCCACAGAGCTGATTAAAGTGGTTGTTTGTGTATACTTATTAACATAATGGAGAGGGTTCAACTGAAAAGAGAAAGTTAATAGTTTTCTCATGTGTTCACTAACTTGTGCTCCCTTCACATCAAACTTTTTTATGCATCAAAAAGGCACTTGTGCTTACGTTTGGAAAGTGAGGCTGCCTTTTTCTCCAGCTTAGTTTTGTTCTGAGCTAAACTGACTAATGCCTACCAGTAGCTTTATATTTTATAGATACTTTTATATTTTATATACTAGCAAAGATTAAAGTTGAATTAGAATTTGTTTTGCTCTGCAGTTGTCTGTTCAATCTTACAGTTTTTTTTTTTTTTTTTTTTAGAGAAACCCAAAGCATTTTGTTTGCGACCTGCATTCAGTTTCATCAGTTACTCCAAGAAGGCAGGCCCTCCCTTCTCCAACAAAACTGACAAAAACACATCAACCAAAAACTCCACCTCCATTTCTAACTCTTCATCTTCCACCTCATCTACTCTGGATCCTCCCTCCAGCCCTGTGGCTCAGACTGACCATCCCCGTAGAGCCCGACAGGAAGTGTTGAAGCCTGTGGTGCTCGTCCTGCCTCGCATTCACTTCCCCGACCCCTGCCTACCCCAGCACAGTCAACCAAGAACCAACCCCAGCTTCAACAGGTGCAAGACATCAACTCAGTTTACATCCCGTGGTCTCGCCAGTGACACTTCGGATAAGCGTCGCCCTCTGTTTTAACCATCTACACTCACACTGCCACACAAAACTCCCAATATTTGTGCCAAATACATAAATAAATAAAGCTGTATCTATATATCGTTAAAACATAGACAGTGTTATTGAACAGCTAAGTCACATGAATGTGGTCTTCTTAAATGCTTCAAGTGAGTATCATCTGCCACCATCACCTTGTTTCTTATATGCCATAAAAAGAAGAACCTTGTAACTGCCAGAATAAAGTCAAAGTGCATATATTTATAGAGTGGGGTCAATCTCATTTCATTTAAAAGACACGATGAAAGGCATGAATGTGGGACTCCACTGGCCAGTCAAGAGGCTTCGGCATGTTCGTTTTGTTAATGCGTTTATTGTCACATTTACATTTACATAGTGAAGAGATGGGTGACAAACTGAAATGGAAGGTTTTGCATCCTTCTTGTTTGTTTTGTGTTATTTTTTTCCCTTTCAATTTGATTAAACTGCATTCAGAGTTCACGCTGAGTGCACGTGGTGGCCCCAAGCCAGAAGAGCATCATAAAAACTTTTGACAGAGGAATTTTTATTGTTGCTCCATTTCTTTTTTCTTGCTATCTGTGTATTTGTGTGTGTGTTTTCAAAGTGAGTGAGAGTACACTGGATGGATTATGTGACAGATGAGAGAAAAGACCTATAGTCCTCAGCGAATGGCGCATGTTTCATCTTTTTTTGTGCCACACAAGAATGGTGAACACTTTTTGTGTGTGCTGTTGTATTTTTACCCTCAGCTCTTGTATCACAAGTGCTTCACATCTACCAGAGATCTGGATTTTCTGTCATCTCTTGCAATCTTGGGTGTAATTCCTGAGGGATTTGTCAAGTTTAAACAGATGCGTTTCAACATTCTTAAGCTTTTAAACTCATATTACTTTCTATAATATAAAACAAGATACAATCTTAAGCCTCATAATCTATTAAAATCAATTTTTTTTCTGATCAGATAATCAGACAATTCCTAATTAGTTTTTTCTACACTGGGTGGGCAGTATTTTCTAGTTATGATTTGAGAACAGTATACTCTTGTGCCAGAGTACACAAATTGTCATGAACAAGTAAAAATGCATCACTCTGAAAGCATCTGTATTTTTTCTGTTTACAAATCTTCTGACCAAGACACAACTTATCAAAGTTAATCATATTTTTCCCTTCCCATCAAGAAATCATGCAAAGGCAAACTCCACTGTAGTATTTTTTTTTTTTTTACCACCAAACCTCTACCCTCTTCCTCAAACTCTTATCTACAAAGTTTGTGCTCTTTTTTTTTTTCTTTCTGCACACAACCATACACATCATTACAATCGCTTCATGACAGAAGACATTTAGTCTCCTTTCATTTTTCCAAACACCTGATGCCATTTGGTGAGCAGCTGCAGGTCTTGTGTGTTCAGTCTTGGATGATTTTTGTCACTCGCTTGTACATTTCTCATGAACACAAGAAGGAAACATCTTTTTGTCCTGGAAGGCTATTTCAGTCCAGGAGTTCAGAAGGAGTTGGAAAGAACAGAAAATAACCCAATAAGTTGCTCCATAACCAGTTTGGGAGAAGAAATGAGACATTTTCTCACTGGATGATCCTGTCTGTAGCGTGATCAAGTAATCCGTATATCAGAAATCCATACAGCGATCGTTTCACTTGGACAAAGCAGCCGTCACAGGTTCAGAGTTCTACCAGTGATGCAAACTTTGCCACTCCACACACAACGGGTACGTTTTCCCTTTTAAACACCATCAGACATATTCCTTTCCCTTATTTGGGGTGATGTTTGGTTTATTCTATGTACATCGTTAAGCACCATGGCTGGTACTGATGAGGTGTTCTGTGGGGTGATGGTGTGAGTGGCGTCCAGGCTGAGGTGGGGTGCGCTCCTCATAGGTGATGGTCATTGCTGGGGAAGTTCTGACGGCTGTTTCTTGGGTTTCAGAGTGTCTATGAGAGACTGGACGCTGCGTTTTACGCTGGTGGTGACCCGGCGGGTCACTGAGTCCGAGGAGGGAGAGGAGGGGGAGGAAGGGGAGGAGGAAGAGCCGGCGCGCTGAGATGGTGGCCGTGCCACCAGACACTTCTGGTACCGGAGCTGAGAGACAATAAGAAAAAAAAAACGTTGTAAGAAGAAGCTGCAGCTTGTTTTGGGGATACGAGCAGAAAAGCTGAACGTACCACACAAGCTGCCTGCACCGCCTCAGACACGTTGCCTGCATTGGGGTCACACCAGAAGACATGACACTGGAAATGCTGGTTCCCAGTGTCCATAATGAAGGCAAATGTGTGCACATCCCGCCCCACGCCCATGAAGGACAGAAAACGGACTCGGCACTCCACCAGTGCCTCCTCATCCTCCTCCTGCACAGCCGTCAAGACAAGAATTAAATCTCTGCAACACATTTTTCTCCACTTGTCAGGCATATTCAAATCTTTTATTTACTTGGTAAATCCCAGGATAACAATTCAATTCCTTGCCTTTTCTTTGAGGACAGCCAAGGTGGTGTCGGCAATACTAAGTATGACAGGCGTCCAGTCTTCTTTTCCCGTGGACGACAAGAGGTTCTCTATGGCCCCGTTTATAATGTCCATACCTAGGGACAAAACACAAAGGATGCTGGGAAGTTTAACAGTGCACGAAGAAAACTACTTTGAAACGAATCGCGGTATGAGTCCAATTGTACCTATTGGCCGAGACACGGATGTCACACCCAGATAGAACACGTGAAACTTCTGCACCAGTTCTGCTTTTGGCATGGGGAACTCTACACAGAGAGAGAAAACACACAAAGTACACGTCATCCACGGGGAATTTTATTAGAGGACAAGATCTGATGGCAAGTTTCAAAGAAGGAGTACACAGGCGATAATTGGCTTAAAGCGAAGAAATAAACAAAATGTGGTGAATATTTAAATATATTTGTGCTGCTGCTGACGTGACTGGAGCACGAAAAACCCACAGCTTCCAGGGAGCTGTCAGTGTGTGGAAACCCTGCGGTGCCTGTTTACAGGCCGAGATGACGGCATTACACAATAAAAGATCAACACCATCACCTGGATCTCAATCACTGCAGACTTGTGCAGTTAAAAAATCACTACTGATACAAAATACAGCCTTCTGTATAGGCCGGAGCAAAGATTTTTATTATTTTTTTTAAAGCAACTGAAGATAGAAAATAATTCACTCAAAAACATTGCTCTTTATTTTTGTAAGAATAAATTGTAACACTTTACAATAAGGTACACAAAATTTGATTAACTACTAGGGAACGCCTCAGGAATGAATCAGGAGCTAATGGGTAATTAACCAGTACTTACTGGGGAACACACAGCCAAGTCTTATTAGGGGACTACTGGTTAGTTACTTTGTAAATGAAGAGGAACTAACCAAGAACTAATGGGTAGTTACAAGGAAACCAAAAAGGAATGAACCAGGAGCTAATGGATGGTTAACCAATACTTACTGGGGAACACACAGACAAGCCAAGTACATAGAAACAGTAGGTAATGGTCAGGCACTGATTAAGTAATGATTGTTTCCTCAGTAAGTACTTGGTATGATACTTCAATACATCAGTGTATAAATAATATCCAGGCAAAGATTTGGTACTCAGTAAGTGATAGACATAGTTAAGATGACACCAGTACAATATTATGAAACTGATAATGTCTTTCATCAATAGGTTTACAAAAGAGAAAATCCAATAAAACCAGTAATCACTAAGAAACAGGTTGTTGACAATTATGAGCTGTGACCTCACTGGTGCAGGGTTTGTTCAGAACCCACATGGAGAATTTATCCTCTGTTTCAGTGGTAACAAACCAGTAGTACCCTAATAAGGCTTGGCTGTGTGTTCTCCAGTAAGTACTGGTTAATTACCCATTAGCTCCTGATTTGTTCCTGAGGCGTTCCCTAGTAGTTAATTAAATTTTGTGTACATTATTGTAAAGTGTTACCGAATAATTTGTTGTCAATGCATATTTATCTAAGGATATTTAAGATTTTAACAAATAAACATATTTTTTTTAATCCACCACTTTGCAAAAATCTGATGACCAATGACTGCATGAGCAGACTCCTGATCAGTGTCCTCTAACTTTTAACACACGTGAGCTGTCAGAATGGTCTGTTCTGTAAACTTGCATGAGCTGTGAACTGTGAGAGGGTTTTGTAAAGATCAGTACTGTTTTAAGTCAGAGCTTGGACCATCCTGATCTGATTATGTGACGCTGGTGCACACCTCGAACCATTTCAGTCTAATCTCTTCAACTGTGCCGCTCCACATCTCCTGTAATTCAATCAGTGATAGAAACCGTTTCCCACTCACTGGAACGCCAGCTCCAGCCGACCGTTAGAGGTAATAGACTAGTCTTTCCACTGCAAGGCCACTGAATATCAACTACTTAAAAAAAAAAAAGACAAGTACTGGAGTTCAAGCATGCTACAGCTTCGAAAGATACTATTTTTCATCAGTACATTATTTGATCTTGAGGTTGGGATGGAGCTGTGAAGCGCCGGGTGTCGCCTCGAACTCTAATTGGGTTTTAATGAGGTCGACTGTCTGGAAGTAAGGAGCTGATTTTGTTCTTTCCTATTCCCACGCCTTGGGCTGCTTCCCTTCTCTCAGCTGATACACACCCCAGCTGAAGTTGAGGATTAATTTTTCCAAATAATAACGAGACAAAAAGCTGTGATTAAAACAAAGGCATGATAGTAATAAAAAAAGTTAAACGTTTCAAGAACAAAACCTTATGATTGTTGAGGGTGACGTGTTTTTCTGGAGTCAGAGTGGATTTCTATAAACAACTGTTCACGACTGCTCCTGAAGAAATAGAAATGTGTAAAACACACACACACACACACGGTTTCAGGTGTGGAGGAATGGTGTGAAAAGAGACAAGAGTCTACGACGTGAAAATAGCACATGGTTGGAAAATCCTATTCATCCACAGGGGAAACACAAGGAGCGAGGCTCACAGACAACCAGCACGTGTGTGTATTGTTCAGGATGTGGAGACATAAATCACTTGAAACTGATGAGACTACATTTTTACTAATAAAAAACAAATACATTTTAGGGTTATGGTTTTTAGATTAGATTAAATGCAAGGAATATGCAAATAATGGCAATATTTAGAATGAAATAAAACAAAAAACACCTCTCTCTCTCTCACCGTGTGTGTGTGTGTGTGTGTGTGTGTGTGTGTGTGTGTGTGTGTGTGTACCTTGTAGGGGTACATCAGAGCTGTTCTGGGAGGAGCTGCCAGCTGCAGCTTTAGCACTTTTTCTTTCAGCCATAATCTGAAAAGTAGGAGACATGCAGAAAAAAAAGACAGGAGGCAAGTGAGAAAATAAAAAGAAGAAAAAAATGTGGCTATAAAGATTAAAACTGAGAAATAAAACTTGAAGAGGAGGCTGGAACAAACAGGCTGAACAGGGCTCAAATCGGACCGAATGACTTCATTTTTTAGCAAACGCTTATTTAAAATACAAAAATAACACCAAGAACTTTCATGGCTGAATTGTATATCCAGCTAACAACATTAAATACCTTAAAATATGAAAAATAAATAAAAAAATCAGGGTTTTCTCTGCATCACCCACAGAAGGTAATATATTGCAAGTGAAGACTGAAATCTTTAAAACACACAAATTTACTTTTAGCAACGCTTCTATAGTATAAATGTGGTCAACAACTTTCAGCTGTAGAATTAATTAATTATAAAGTGTATATGGGAACAAATAACTCATCACCAAGACAAATGATGAGGCTTTATGGCTTGAATTATCTTTGTGACAGTTCTGGAGGTCTAAATTAAACTTGTTGCAGAATTATAAAAATAAAATATAAAACTTTTTGTTTGTTTTTATTACAAAAAAAAACAAAACTATTGTATTTTCCTTCCTCAGCTCTTGTGCTGGAGCAAACACAATCTTTAACAGGATCTGAATAATCTGCACGGCCCCTGCACTGAACCGAAGCACCCTCTATAGATAGTTAATTATAAGCATCATTAATCAAAGTCTACAGTGAGTCTGCAGCTCTACTAACAGGGGTACGTGAAGAACAAGCATGCATTCTTTCACTCGGAGAAATAGGGATCATTCAGTGTGCTGCACAGCTGCAGAACTCGGGTCACTAAGTTTGTCCCCTGCAGTAAAGAGAGATCCACCAATCTGTTTTAAAATAGGCATCGTGAGGGTGAGAGGAGAACTCATACACCGATGCAGATACTCTTCAGTTTGGGGTTAGAGATACAAAGAAATTAAAAGATTTTTGTCTGTAAATGGGTCATTGTGCCTCTCAGGGAGAAAATATATTTGCAGTTAGTCATCCTTCACAAGGTCACTGCTGACCTGACTGAGGACGGGCTCATTTCTCTCTGTGTGCAGAAGGCTATGGATGTGTGTGTCTATCTGAATTAGGTATCATCTGTACCCCCATCAAATGTCACCTTCATATGCCAGGAAAATACAGGGAACTCACCCCTCAGAGGGGTCAAAGATATATTCTCCTGCACTTAGCTTTGAGAATTATGTGAGGTAATAATGGTCTGAAGTTAGACATGACAAGCCACATGTTAGTCCTTAAGCTTTCAGGACTCTTTTATGGATCAGGACAGACTCAGTTTATAATGAGACTGAGGATCTGATGTATTTAATGAGATACTGGTTGCTCCATTCGTTAGGACTGTCACCTCGCAAATAGGAAGTTTTGGGTTCAATTCCCAGCTAGAACTTTTCTCTGTGCATGCACAGGTTTTCTCAGGGTTCTCTGGTTTCCCCCCACAGTCCAAAACCATGCATGATAGATTTGTTGGCTCTAAATTAACTCTAGATGTGAATGTGAGTGTGAGTTTGTCTCTGTGTCCATGTGATGGACTGGTGACCTGTCCAAGTTGTACCCCTGCCTCTCGCTTAATCACCTCTGGAAAAACACTAGCGCACCATACAGACTGTGGGAGGAAGTTGTGTTGGACAGAGAAAACCCACACATACACAGGGAGGATGACACATACAAAGGTCCCAGGACTTGACCCTAGGAACTTTATGTTGCAAGGCAACAGTGCTAACAAACTGAACCATTCAGCCTATGACAAAATCATTCATCAGTGGAAGTAAAGCTGAAGCCATTTTGTCTGCAAAGCTGGAAAGTATAAAGGCAAATCTGAGCTGAATTTTCATAAACAGGTTTGAAAAGGATTAACTCAGAGCTGCGTGGCTTGTGGTTTTAAATATGTAGAATAAGCTATCCTAACTGGGATGTCCTGATCAGGAATGTTTGTCACCGAAAAAAGAACCCTTTATTTTGGCTGCTTCTTCCTTCAGGGGTTGCCACAGCAAGCGAACTTGCACAAAATATTTATCTTTATTTTTGACGCCAGGTGACCTTCCTAACACAACCTGGGTTCAAACTCACGACCTCAGGAAAACAAGACCACAGCACTGACCACCAAGCTGCTGCAGCCAGTTGTTTGTCTCGGATATGACTAATTTATCTCCAGTTAGATACAGTCCGAGTCATGTCAAGTATCGGCCAGTACTGGGTCTTAATCTGATGCTTGTTTAATTTTTTATTTTTACAGCACAGGTCCTGCAGATTACATACCATAAGTTACCATTAAAGTTAATAAAATCAAAGCCATCATGAGCTTGACGCCTCAGTACATGTAGTTTTTTATTTTTGGCTGCTCCCTTTGTCGGGGGGTCACCACTGAGCCAACTTGCATGAAGATGGGACATTGTTTTTACGCTGGATGCTCTTCCTGACAACCTATGGTGCCTTGGGGAGCAGAATTTGGGGGGTAAGGGCCTTTCTCAGGTGCCCAGAATGGGACAAATGAGGGTGGAGGCATCCTCATTTTGACATAATGGTTAGTGTATTCGAACCAGAGACCTCCTGATCACAGGCTTGGTTTCTCTAACTCTAAGAATTTCCTCAAGTGAGTAAGTTTTAAGAGTTAGTTGGGTGAACTCGGTGAACTCAGCCAGATGCTTAGTGTTTAAACGTCTAATTAAACTGGTGGTGTTGAATGCAGCTTTATCACAAGCTTTACAAAAATCACCTGGAATCCAGACGTTACAAGTAGCTACTGACCTGCTCTCATTTTGTAATTTAAAAAACTTTCTTTCAGCAAACGTGTTGGATCGTTACATCGGACACATCACTGTGCGTCAAATCAGAGCAGAACCAGCAGGGAAGTCTGGCCATTTTAATCCGTACTCATCTATATTTAGTTGTTTCCATTCCTCCTGATGTTCATCAAATCTTAAATGAATCAGACGAGCATTTAGTAAATCTTTCCTTGAGCATTAGAGGAATTTTTATTTCGCACTTAGAAATTACATGGCATGTTATCTGCAGCCTTAATCTCCCATTATCATTTCAATATTCGTTTGGATCTCTCTCCCCCCCCCCCCCCCCCACACACACACACACACAATTACCATGAAATATTAGTTCACCCCTCTCCATGAAAACACACTAACAGTCTGTTCGCGTTCCTGCGACGGTTGAGCACTTTATGGCACAACACCGGCAATTGTCGATGGAGGGGTGTGTGAGGGTGTTAGGATGTGTGAGAGAAGCGGAGTGCGCTCTATTCACACAAGGAGAGCTGTTGGTCAGACTACTTCTTGTTTCTCTCTAAAATAATTATTGATTCAAGTGTTTACTTGTGGAGGTAAATGTGGATGTTTAACAACCCATTAAAATACACTACAATGCAGGAAATGGCATCTACTTTATTCAAAAATTTCTGGGGTAGGACTCCCAGAACCCCCCTCCCCCATCAGTGTACACCCCCCTCACACACACACACACACACACATTACAAATGCCAAAAACACCAATTTAAAAATCGCCCCATTACTTTTCAACTTAAGTTAAACATAGCACAGGTAAACTGTCCGCTGTGTTGTCAGGCCTGGTGACTTTCTAAAACTAGCATGGTGTATGGTCCGAGTTACAGAAAAACAGTTACGGTAAACCGCACCAATGAAACAGCTGCACGGATTGAAGCTGGGTTGTTTCAGAGAATAAAAAAGAAAACATTATTTTAAACGGAGGAGGCGATGGCAGCGACTCTCACCTTGGAGCAGATTTCGTGAAGACTTGTGGCGATGGCTGCAGCAGGAGTATCACATCGAAACACGTGGCACTTCAACACCCGGGTGTTTTTGTCTCTGGCCACATAGGCAAAATCCCTGATTAATAAACAGAAGACAACAGGAAGGATCGCGGGTTAATTTTTCATGCACGCGAAACACTAAATCAATATTTTTCCTCAACACATCGTGAAGTGAGAACCAGACATTTGTGTGATAAACACTCAATAATCTCTGTTGCTCTAGAATCTGAATGACTTTGATTAAACTATTGTAAATAATTATTGATAAGTTTATAAATAAGTTTATGAAAAGGGAAAAATTCTCAACTAATCAATTAAGATAAAAAAAACAGTATTTAAAAGTGAGAACAAGCAGTGCACCTTGAAGGGAACCTGCTCGGGATAATTTAACAGAAAAGACAGAAATTTGTCATTTTTCCATGTCAACATTTTTCACAGCACATATTTTAACTCATACGTGTTAATTCCATTCTCAAAGTCTTCCATCCCCAAACCATCGCTAACTTTATTTCCAAAAGTTTACCACTAGAGTCTGATACAAAATCTGATGATGACACGGGTGACATTTATGTTTATGTTCATTAACATAAAAATTATGAAATAAAACTAAAAAAGCTTTGTTTTTGTTTACATAATCAAAATGGTTGTCTTTCACACTTCCTTAAAGCGGATTTATGTCCTATAGAAGATCTCTGAAAGTAATTAACTCGTTTTTTGAAGGACTGCATATCGCCTTCTTTCATATCAGAGTTTTAGACTATTGTCTATTATTGAAGAACGATAAAGTTGCAGCTGTTTTGGTTAAAAATAAAATGAGATTATGTGCGAGGCCATGACATATTGAGAGACGTCACGCTCACAGTATGTGTTGTGAATGACTCTCAGCTACTATCACAACAAATTTTAGCTTAAAATCTCCAAAGCTGACTGGATTCAATATTTTTTCTATTTTTGAAATACAGTAATGTGGCAGCTGTCAAATTAGATTTATTCATTATATTCATGAGACATTTTGGTAACAAATGGACACAGTTTTGCCTGTTTAATTCAGTTAAACTATGCTCTTGTCTAAAAGTTATCTAATAAAAGTTGTTGCCTAAACGTAACAAAGGCAAAAATCATCATTTTCCTCCTTGTTGTCACTCCACTCAGTCAAATATGTGATTGCATTTGTGTTTTTCAAACACACATCAGGTCTGACAAAGTAGACGACTGATTGCAAACAA